CTTTAGTGCAGATCTCTGGTTCAGTTCTCTGGTTCAGATGTTTGGTTCAGTTCTTTGGTTCAAATCTTTGGTTCAGTTCTTTGGTTCAGTTCTTTAGTGCAGATCTTTGGTTCAGTTCTTTGGTTCAGATGTTTGGTTCAGTTCTTTGGTTCAGAAGTTTGGTTCTGTTCTTTGGTTCAGGTCTTTGGTTCAATTCTTTGGTTCAGCTCTTTGGTTCAGATGTTTGGTTCAGATCTTTAGTTCAGATCTTTAGTTCAGTTCTTTGGTTCAGATATTTACTTCAGTTCTTTGGTTCATATTTTTTGGTTCAGTTCTTTGGTTCAGTTCTTTGGTTCAGATCTTTACTTCAGTTCTTTGGTTCAGTTCTTTGGTTCAGATCTTTAGTTCAGATCTTTATTTCAGTTCTTTGGTTCAGTTCTTTGGTTCAGATCTTTGGTTCAGTTCTTTACTTCAGTTCCTTGGTTCAGATCTTTATTTCAGATCTTTACTTCAGTTCTTTGGTTCAGTTCTTTGGTTCAGATCTTTAGTTCAGATCTTTACTTCAGTTCTTTACTTCAGTTCTTTGGTTCAGATCTTTGGTTCAGATCTTTAGTTCAGATCTTTAGTTCAGTTCTTTGGTTCAGATATTTACTTCAGTTCTTTGGTTCATATTTTTGTTTCAGTTCTTTGGTTAAGTTCTTTGGTTCAGATCTTTAGTTCAGATCTTTGGTTCAGTTCTTTGGCTCAGATGTTTGGATCAGTTCTTCAGTTCAGTTCTTTGGTTCAGTTCTTTGGTTCAGATCTTTAGTTTAGATCTTTATTTCAGTTCTTTGGTTCAGTTCTTTGGTTCAGATCTTTGGTTCAGTTGTTTGGTTCAGATCTTTAGTTCAGATCTTTGGTTCAGATCTTTACTTCAGTTCTTTGGTTCAGTTCTTTGGCTCAGATCTTTAGTTCAGATCTTTACTTCAGTTCTTTGTTTCAGTTCTTTGGTTCAGATCTTAGTTCAGTTCTTTGGTTCAGTTCTTTGGTTCAGATCTTTACTTCAGTTCTTTGGTTCAGTTCTTTGGTTCAGATCTTTGGTTCAGATCTTTAGTTCAGTTCTTTGGTTCAGATCTTTACTTCAGTTCTTTGGTTCAGTTCTTTGGTTCAGATCTTTGGTTCAGATCTTTACTTCAGTTCTTTGGTTCAGTTCTTTGGTTCAGTTCTTTGGTTCAGATCTTTAGTTCAGATTGGTTCAGATCTTTGGTTCAGTTCTCCGGTTCAGATGTTTGGATCAGTTCTTTGGTTCAGATGTTTGGATCAGTTCTTTGGTTCAGTTCTTTGGTTCAGATCTTGAACCTTTACTCAGGACTGCCCAGAGGCTCACCATCAGAACCCAACATCAGAACCCATCCAGGACCAGTCTGGGTTTTCAGTCTGGAGGAACAGAACCTGTTTCAACACTTAAAGTTCTGCTCAGCAGTCGGTTCTGATCCAAACGACCCGCTGAGGACAGAACACGGTGAACTCTGCTGAGACTGAAGGAGAGAACAAACAGTTCTGCATCACTGTCAGAACATGATCTGGTGACTGAAGCCAGTCGGATCAGAACCATGACTGACCCGTCAGAACCAGTACAAGAACTGTTTTAGCTGATGGTCTCTGGATCCTTTCTGCCGTCCGCCTGATGGTTTCCATCCTGTTGCCATGACAACAAGAACTCCTGTTTCCTGGATCAGTGGAAAATAAATAAATTTACTTAAAAACAAAACAAGGACTGGGTCAGAACCAGGACCAGGACTGGGTCAGACCTCAGGACCAGGACTGGGGTCAGAATCAGGACCAGGACTGGGGTCAGAACCAGGACCAGGACTGGGTCAGACCTCAGGACCAGGACTGGGGTCAGTTCAGAGGAATAATAATGAAATAAATCTGTTTGAGTTCAACAAAACAAAGATGGAACCAGAACACGGAGCAGCAGAACCAGAACACGGAGCAGCAGAACCAGAACACAGAGCAGCAGAACCAGAACACGGAGCAGCAGAACCAGAACACGGAGCAGCAGAACCAGAACACGGAGCAGGAAGTGTAACCGGACTCTGGATCTGATTCAGAACCTCTCTCTGTTCTGATCCAGTTTCCTGACGTGTGTGCTCAGTTAAGAGCTAATGGTGGTCTTATGGATCCTACTTGGACCAACAGAACCGCCTCAGGGACACCCTGCAGAAACTGAAGGCAGCAGAACTTCAGAACCAGAACCAGAACCAGAACCTTAGTTGTTGTGACGGAAGGCAGAAACAGGAAGTTAAAAAAGGAACAAACTTTGATCAATAAAGTTATTTAAAAAACTCTGAGTCAGAGACTCTCTGGACCCGTTTATTGACCCGGGTCCAGAGAGTCCTGCTTCCTGCTCATCAGCCTGAGAGCACACACTGTTTGTTGTTGTTTGTTGTTGTTTGTTTGTTGTTTGTTGTTGTTTACCAGAGCTGGTACTGATCCGATCACCTGCAGCTGAACAGATCAGGTTCACTTCCTGTTGGAAACATTAGATGTGATCCAGGAGGAAGCAGAACTGTGACAGAACCAGGATTAGTTTCTGACCCTCCTCTTCCTCTCTGGTCCGTTTGAACACAGTTCTGGTTCCGACCCGTCGGTCCAGAAATAGCTGAACTAAAAGCTGTTTATTGATCATGAGGAAGAAGATCCTCCTCCAGGACTCCTGGTCTTTATGTTGAACTTTCAGTGGTTTATGATCCCAACTGTAAAACCTTTAAACCATCAGATGACAGATGTACTGAGTCAGGACCAGATCGGACCGGGTCAGCAGCAGAACCTTTACCGGAACCTTCCAGGAGGCTGCAAACCACAGAGTCTGTGATAAACGCTGACCTCAGACCTGTGGCTGGTCCTCTGTCCACACCTGATGTCCACTGTGAGGCAGTGATGTCAGCGGGGCTTCCCTGACAGGACACCTGGGCTCAGGCCAGGGGTCAAAGGTCAGATACACAGGAAACAAACTGTAAACAACAACAACAACAACAACAACAACAAATAATAATAATAATAATAATAATAATAATAATAATAAAATCACAGAAACACTGAAAATAACATTTTCATGAAAAACTGGGTTTAAGGATGTTTTTGTACTTTTTACTTGTACTTGTACTTGTACTTGTAGTACTCTGCTCAGCCTGAAACAGTCTGTGCTGTCACGGATTCAGACTCTTATTTTGAAGAGTTTTACATGAAACACCAAATGGAACCACTTCCTGTTTCCTCCTGAACATCAAACATCAGCTGACATGAAGGGTCTGTGGGGGCGGCCATGATGGAAGAGAAGCATGCTGGGTAATGTAGAAGAAGCTGCTGAGTCATTGGTTGCCATGGAGACAGGGGGGGCGGTCCTTCAGACAGAACCACAGAGTAAAAAATAAACCTCAGAAATGTTTGAATCCTGAATTTAGTTTAAAAAAACTTAGTTTGGTTTAAAAACTTGAGCTGAGATCTTTGATTTTACACTCAAAGGTCTCCCTGAAGGTTGCTTCTCGTATGTTTTCCTGGTTCTGGTTCTGGTTCTGGGTCTGGGTCTGGTTCTGGTTCTGGGTCTGGGTCTGGTTCTGGTTCTGGGTCTGGGTCTGGGTCTGGTTCTGGGTCTGGTTCTGCTGGTCACAGGAACCTGTCAGACCAAACTCAGGGTAAAATCCTCTCCTCAGGCTGTGACCTGCTGTTTCCTGCCTCCTGTGGAGGCAGATTATTGAGGTTAGAGCAGCTTCTGATGGCTGACCCGGCTCATTGGTCCGTTTGGGTCAGACTCAGAACCAAACAGAACCTCTTATTGATTAAAGTTCTCGCTTCATGTTTTTCTTCACTCACATTGATTTTCTGACAGAAAGTCTAAGATTTATGAAGCTGGTAGTTTTTTTTAACAACAAACACAGAGTTCTACAGAACCGGGCCGGGTCCAGTCTCAGAACCTGACTGATGTTTTAATTTGACTCCAAACAAACAAAATATAGATTCAGCTGCTGGAAACAAGCTGTCCCAGACCTGCAGGACCTGCTGGACCTGCAGGACCAGTTCTTACTCAGGGAAACTTCTGAACCGGGTCAGAACTTTGGACCAGATCAGATGAGTTTTATTGAGACACAAAAAACATCAAAAGATTCAAGATGGCCGCCACAGTCTGTCCTCTGTCCTCCTGGTTTGTGTCTCACTCTGTCCTCTGTTTCCTGGCAGGACGTCCACACATGGACCCAGACTGAAGACCACCCTGCAGCTCAGGGTCTCTGCTCGTCCTCCAATGTCCCATCAAGGATCCTCAGAGAGACGGTGGATCTGTGATCAAACCTGGACCTGAAGGAGGAAGAGTCTACAGAACCAGAACCTCCGGACCCTCCAGACCCTCCAGAACCCTGTGAGGTCCCAGCTTCAGGATGATTCCATCTCTGTCCTTCCTGGATGTCTCCTGAATCCTGGACCGGATCTATAAAGCCCAGCAGGAGGTTCTGGTTCTGTGTGGACAGGGTGTCTTTTCATGTCCTGACACCCACCTGACCTCTGACCCCTCCCACTTCAGTATGTCCGTCCGCCTCGCCCGGTCGGAGCAGTGAACAAGCTGCTGACCTCACTGTAACAAGCTCCGCCCCCTACCTGTCTCCTCCCAGGTCCCGTCTCTCACACTCAGGCGGGACGCTCTGATGCAAGATGGCGGCCGGCGTGGCAACATGGCTGCCGTTTGCGCGGGCGGCGGCGGTGGGCTGGCTGCCACTGGCCAAGAAGACCATGCCCAAACCTCCGGTGGACAACTCGTCCAGATCAGACGAGATCCTGTTCGTCAACGTCAGCGGGGTCCGCTTCCAGGTGGGTCCTGCTGTCTACTGAGCATGCTCTGACGATTGCATCACAGGGGGAGGGGCTATACAAGGGGCGTGGTTACATAGGGGGCAGGGCCACATGATTCACAGGGTTCAGGATTCAGGATTCAAGATTCAGGATTCAGGCTTCAGGATTCAAGTTTCAGGATTCAGGATTCAGGATTCAGGGTTCAGGATTCAAGGTTCAGGATTCAAGATTCAAGATTCAGGATTCAGGAATCAGGGTTCAGGATTCAGGGTTCAGTTTTCAAGGTTCAGGATTCAGGATTCAGGGTACAGTATTCAAGATTCAGGATTCAGGGTTCAGGATTCAAGGTTCAGTATTCAGGATTCAAGATTCAAGATTCAGGATTCAGGGTTCAGGATTCAGGGTTCAGGATTCAAGATTAAGGATTCAGGCTTCAAGATTCAGGGTTCAGGATTCAGGATTCAGGATTCAGTAATCAGGGTTCAGGATTCAGGGTTCAGTTTTCAAGGTTCAGGATTCAGGATTCAAGATTCAGGATTCAGGATTCAGGGTACAGTATTCAGTATTTAGGATTCAAGATTCAGGATTCAGGATTCAAGATTCAAGATTAAGGTTCAGGATTCAGGAATCAGGGTTCAGTATTCAAGGTTCAGGATTCAGGATTCAAGATTCAGGATTCAGGATTCAGGGTACAGTATTCAGGAGTCAAGATTCAGGATTCAGGGTTCAGGATTCAGGCTTCAAGATTCAGGGTTCAGGATTCAAGATTCAGGGTTCAGGATTCAGGATTCAGGGTTCAGGATTCAGGGTTCAGGATTCATGGTTCAGGGTTCAGGATTCAGGATTCAAGATTCAGGATACAGGATTCAGGATTCAGGAATCAGGGTTCAGTATTCAAGGTTCAGGATTCAGGAATCAGGGTTCAGGATTCAGGATTCAGGATTCAAGATTCAGGATTCAAGATTCAGGGTTCAGGATTCAGGGTTCAGGATTCAGGAATCAGGGTTCAGGGTTCAGGATTCAGGATTCAAGATTCAGGGTTCAGAATTCAGGGTTCAGGATTCAAGATTCAAGATTCAGGATTCAGGATTCAAGATTCAGGGTTCAGGATTCAGGGTTCAGGATTCAGGAATCAGGGTTCAGGATTCAGGATTCAAGATTCAGGATTCGAGATTCAGGGTTCAGGGTTCAGGATTCAGGAATCAGGGTTCAGGGTTCAGGATTCAGGATTCAGGATTCAAGATTCTGGGTTCAGGATCCAGGGTTCAGGATTCAAGATTCAGGATTCAGGATTCAGGATTCAAGATTCAGGGTTCAGGATTCAGGGTTCAGGATTCAGGAATCAGGGTTCAGGATTCAGGATTCAAGATTCAAGATTCAGGGTTCAGGATTCAGGGTTCAGGAATCAGGGTTCAGGATTCAGGATTCAGGATTCAAGATTCAGGGTTCAGGATCCAGGGTTCAGGATTCAAGATTCAGGATTCAGGATTCAGGATTCAAGATTCAGGGTTCAGGATTCAGGGTTCAGGATTCAGGGTTCAGGATTCAGGATTCAGGATTCAAGATTCAGGGTTCAGGATCCAGGGTTCAGGATTCAAGATTCAGGATTCAGGATTCAGGATTCAAGATTCAGGGTTCAGGATTCAGGGTTCAGGATTCAGGGTTCAGGATTCAGGATTCAGGATTCAAGATTCAGGGTTCAGGATTCAGGGTTCAGGATTCAGGGTTCAGGATT